ATGGTGGATGGCGGAAGGCGGGAGAAAGGCCGAAGTTGGGATGGTGGGAAGCGGCGGAAGAAGTCGACAGGGGGGAGAGAGAGAGAGAGAGAGAGAGAGAGAGAGAGAGATGGTGGGAAGAGGGAGAGAGAAGTAGCGATGGTGGATGGCGGAAGGCAGGAGAAAGGCCGAAGGTGGGACGGTGGGAAACGGCGGAAGACACCAGACGTGCGCAGCGCGCACTGCGCACCCAGATGTGCGGCGCGCCGCACTCTGGGTCCGCGCACAGTGCCGGTGTGCCGCAAGTATGGTCTGACTTGAAGATGAGGAACTGTGACAGCTGAGTATGGTGTTTACCTGGACACAGTTTGCAGCATGTGCAGAACCCCACGAACAGAAAGGACCACCTTTTTATTAAACCACCACTACCTCAGTCACTCTTAAGAAAAATGGGAAAAATGGGAAAAATGGGAAAAATCATCAAAAATGGGAAAACTGGCTGTTTTCCCATTTTTCCCGAACTTTTCCAGGGTTAGATGAGGCTCGGCAGTTATGCCTTGAGGGCCCCTTCGAAAAACAAAAAGAAAAACAAAAGATCATGTCGGGGAAGGTCGTGAACCAAGTTGTACTCGCACCAAACCTCACACGTTCGTATCTAACCGCTATAGTGGCCAGTTTCAGGTTTTCCTTGTTTGTGTTTTTTGTTTTCGTTCTTTTTTTTGTTTTGGTGCCTTGCCAGGGAGGCACGGTGCAGTCCACGGGCTGCTGACACTTTGTGGAGGAGGGCATGCCCACACTATTACTTTGCAGAATGTATGAACTAGCTTTCCCGCCCTAAGTTCAGTTGTGTTTTTTCCTCTTCCTTCTTTCGTGGACCTGACACCCTTGCCGTAACGCCCTCACTGAGGGCATACTCTCACAACGACTTTGGGATAGGTATCTACCGGGTATCACGTCGGGTGTTTGTTTTTCTTCTTTTACTTTTTTTTGGCTGCAAGTGGGTCCTTTTTTGAAAGTCTGGCCCTGCTTTTTTTTTTTCAGGAAAGAACCAGAAAAGAAACAAAACAGAACCCGGGATCGGCAAAACTCGGTGCGCAGTGAAAATCAGGGTCGGCAAAAACAGGCTCGGAGGTAGTGGCTGTCGACGATGAGCAACAGTTACACATGCATAGAACATACCATTCAGCCAACAGGCAGTATACACGTTCAAATCTCACCTGTCCATAATCCTTGACAGTCTAGCAGCAGATTCACCATCCTGCACGATGTTAAAGTATTCCTGCAGGCCTTCATGCCGCCTTTTAACACAATGTACACAGTGCGCCAATTCTTTTGACATTCTAGCCCACAATTCTTCCACAACTGACACAGTTTCTCCATCCCTCCTTTTGTTCATGTAAAAGAGCGGCTCTATAGAAGGCCAAGCAATCTCATAATGACCACACCAGCAGTGAATGCCATCGGGCAGCGCTACCAAGAAGGGCAAGCTCTCAAAAAACCTGCACAACACATTTATGTACACATACATCATTCGGTGTTATTATTATCATTATTATTATTATCATCATCATTACTATTATAATAGTATTATTATTGTTATCATAAAAATAATATTATTGCAATCAGACAACAGGTCGCACAGCAAACCGGCGACAAGTGCCCACTCAAGCTCAGAGATATGGTAACCCAGCAAACCGGCTTCAGATGGCTATGGCGCGTCAGCGCCTGTACAACTCTCTGTTCGTCACTGTGCCCTACTCTGCTGTTCACACACACTCAACCTAGGATCACCCTGGATATCCCACACGTAACACACTGTACACTTCAGATGGCTATGGCCGCTACTACCTCTACCGCTATGGCTAAACTCTCCTTCTCGCCCACTTCGTCTTCGGGCACACTGCAGACCACCTCGCACAAGTCGCTGTAGCAGCACTTCCGCATGGCTTACGCAGGAATGAATGAATGAAGGGGCGCTGCCTCTTGATTTATACTTCTGTAACTCGTTGGTCTGCCCCTTTTCCATGCCCGTGGTGCACACAGTCCCATACGGTACTCGCTTGACTGGACAAGGACCGACTGGGACTGGAACCGCTGACTCAGCAAGGTTGGACTTCACTACTTGCCCACTTGCCTCTGTCTAGACGTGGGCCAGCTTTGAAAGGTCACTACTGGGACCTTCCGGAAGTCTGTAGTCCTGGCCTTTCGGATGCTGTAGCTGCTACGACCTTGACCTTTCAGGACTGTAGCAGCTACGACCTGGACCTTTCAGAAGTCCTACACCTACGACTTCTATCCCTAAGACCTCTAGCCAACAGGTCTACAGATCGAACCCCTACAACCTACGGACCCTACGACAGCCTACCGACTGTTACAAATACACAGGTCATGGGTTCAACTCTCGGGGTCGACGCAGGTAATGTACACAGGTAAGGTAAAGTCAGGGATCGAGCCCTGGGATCCGTGTTGGCTACTGCTAGCAGGTGAATACCGTTTCATTATTATTATTAATATTATTATTATTATCATTATTATTATTGTTATTATCAGGGTCGCCGGCGTTCGGGACGGGCCGCACGCCCGGACCCGAACGCCTGAACGTTCGGGACCCCCTCTCGACTCGTTCGGCCGTTCTGCCGAACGCGGACCCAAAAAAAAAAAACAATTCCAAAAAATCTGAGAAAAACATATGTTACGCAGAAGAATAAACTGAACAACATTTGCCTCAACATTACAATCCAAATTCGTTACCAAATTTGAAATAAAAATCAAATACAAAAAAACAAATAATAATACTGAAAATTAGAAAAAATAAAACGAGAATGAAATTATTGAGTGGGCGAGCATGTTTTTGACACCGCCATCTTTGGTGATTCTTCTTTTTTTTTTGGCTTTGACAAATGCCATGAAAATTTATATATGTGTATCTTACATAATAGAGAACCTACAAATAAGGTTTGAAAATTTAATAACTTTTTTCATGCCCCAAAATAAAGGGAAAACAAAAAGTGAAAAGAGATAAAAAAAACAAATTACTAAAAACTAGTGAGTAGGCAAGCAAGTTTTTTTTTTTTTTTTTTGGAGAAGTCACTTCATATTTCAAAACCAAAGTGGTCGAGGCCGGGGACCTCACAATTCTACCCGGTGTTGACAAGGAAAAAACCTGCTGGAAACCGGGTCCAGCGTCCCACGACCACACAGCCTCAATAGGAAAAGAACTCCTCAAAATAGCCTTGAAACACAGAAAAAGATGGCTGAGCTAATCATAACAAACCTCTCCAATCCTTCCGCCTATAACGTGATATCCTTGCAGCACAGAAGAAGTACAACGCCGGCATGTTTCTAAAACCGAAACACTATTGGCAAAGAACTACGAGTTATAATCTGCAAATCGCGAAAATGAGCAAGGCAATTCACGAGGATTTTACAGTTTTAACCCTAAAATTATTCCAAAGGCAAACTAAATTATCCCAAATTTCAGACCAAACACGTACAAACTTCGAACTAGGTGTAGTAATATTATCTCCATTTTTCCCGATTTTTCATTGCTTTTCGGTTTAACAGAATGACTTCAAAATTAAGAGGAAGATACCTTACATTATAAAGAACTCACCAAAAAAAATTCAGAAAAAAAAAAACAATATTTAGGTGCCAAACTATTTTTTTGCGGGGTCCGAATCCCTTTGGGTTCGGGCCCCGTACGAGGACCGGAACGCCTGAACATTCGGGGGTCAGCTTAGGGGCCTCCGTATGTAAGGCCTGGCAACCCTGGTTATAATTATTATTATTATTATTATTATTACTACTATTATGCAAGGGAAATGAGCAGAGGGAATGACAGAACCAAAATTGCATCATTACATTGAAAGCCATATAGCTGTGTGCCAAACAGAGGAGAATGCACCAAGATACACAGCAAATAAGCGCAAAGCGATGAAACCAATTGACAATGTAAGCCCCTAACTCGCCTCCACCATCAATATATTAAATGTGGCTCTTCTATATGGCACTCGGCGCCCAGACTACAGTCAGACAACACCTATATTAGCCTACCAAATATGGCACAAACCAGGTACTCTTTAGCAGCAGCCCAATGTACATGAAGACACCGCCCATGCAGACCTCTCGTTACCAGGTGTGTCCCTCCATACTCCACACAATGAACGTGAAGACACCGCCCATGCAGACCTCTTGTTACCAGGTGTGTCCCTCCATACTCCGCCCATACTCCGCCCATGACCAAGACTTCCCCCACACAGGCTCTACTTCCCTTGCCCGAAGACCTCCACCATACACAGCTGCCAACAGCTTGCTTCCAACACCAGTGTGCGCTCTCCAGCCAGCGCTCATGCCAGGCGTGCGCTCCAGCAGCGCTGCCGCACGAGATGCAAGCCAGAATGAGTTCTGGCAGTGGGCTGGCACTTTCGTTTATGGAAAGGCACTGGCTGACGAGGTCCTGGCCAGGCTGGACTGAGCGTGCCTTGTCCCAGTTGCTGTGCCACAGGGCCCTTCCAGAATGTGCCTGGGATCAAACTGTAAGTGAAGAATGCGCCACAGGGCCCTACCCGATGGTTGAAGATGCCCTACCCAGTGGTTGAACTGTCGGGCCCTACCCAGTGGTTGAAGATGCCGCGAGAGGCTCAACCACTCCACGGCGCCCTTCTGGACACTTCTCGTCCAGCAACTGATTTGCAGCTCCCGCGGCCTCATATCTGGCCAAAAATAGGTAAGGCCCACCTTCACTCAGGACTGGCGGTCATGGGTCTTTGCGGCATGGCGAGCAACTCACATCCTCACAATTGCTATTATTATAACTAGACTAGATGACCTGTTGCAGCTTTGCTCGCAAAAACAAATGCGACAAGTGATGCACTGAAGGTGGAGGCAACCGGCCGATGCAAACTCTCTCTCTCTCTCTCTCTCTCTCTCTCTCTCTCTCTCTCTCTCTCTCTCTCTCTCTCTCTCTC